AATATTCAACCTTGACCTGAAGCTTATGCTCACATAATATGATTTATAAATGACGAATGGTTAAGATTATATGGGGTCATCAACGTTTTGAAGAAAGAGAAATGAGGGGGTCAGAAAAAACAATTTTTTGGACCATGATGACGTCATCAAAATGTAAGAAGAAGTCAAATATATGAAAGAGAACTGTCTCAGCTATAACATACTGGAAGTTGGAAGACGATCGACCAAGGATAAGCGAGATACGCTCAAATGCGTATTTTCACAAATGACGTCATAGCTATAATTCACTTTCTTTGAATTCAGATGCCAATATGATGACGTCACAATGTCCGATCAGCCATTATGATCTACAAAATCATATTTACAACTTGTGTGCTTTCAGAATATGTAATAAAAATTGGGGGTCACCTTTCAACCTAAGGAGCTATAACTGATTAAAAATAGGTCTGATTTTACCATAATTTTACTGTATAGCGGCACAAATACGCGCAAAGATACCTATGTTTGATGCGCACGTAAGGCATTGCTATTGGTAGGTATCACAATGACTTTTTTTTTATTTGCAGATATATATCTTAAAGTACTTCCATCTTGTAGAGCTCATTAAAAGAAAGAAATTGATACCTCACTTGACAAAATTGGACAATCCGTTAATGATTTACGGCCATTTTAAATTACTGCAAAACGACCCAAAATTTGCATATTATCGCCAAATGGGATTTCCCTCATTTTTTAGGGCTGATATTTTAAAAATTATATCACCTATAGGTTGGAAATTTCAGAAAATACCTATTTTCTGGGTATATTATATGCCTATTTTTTTTCAGATACACTAGAATTAAACTTTTGGCAATGTGCTCACTTAAATATGAGGGGTTAGTGAATATTCGCTTTTGAAATTTTGACGGTCAAAGTCAACCAAAATTCAATTTCCATAGCCCTGTAATTTCAAAAACTGTTCTTTTTTGGTGCTGGAAACATCAATATCTTTGTTATATATATGGAAGACAAGTATGCCAGAGAATTTCAAGTCTTTATTTCAAATATATTAATAGATATTAGCTCTCAAAAATACCAAAAACCCCATTTTTAACAAATTTGCGTTTTTTCCGACATATTTAAAAACGCTGTAAATAGGGGAAAAAATGTCCAATCCTGGCAAGTGAGGTATCAAAATGTTTCTTTTGATGAGATCTACAATTTAAAAGCATTGGTATTGTGAAAATTCAAACTTTAAATAGGGTAAAGTGGGGTAATTGGAACGGTGGGGTAATTGGAACGTTTGAGACTCTTTTTCATTTAATTCAATAACTATGACAGTGAACGCCACCTAGAGTTAATTCACAAACAAACAAATATATATTTTGTAAAATGGCGTCTTTGTTTTGATCATTGTGTCACATTGTTTGCAGAAAATCATCTTCAATTGTGACCATCCTTAGGTCATCCGTCAATAAAATTTGTAATTAGTAATATTAAACATCTCGAGAAAGTGTTAGTGTAGTTAATTCATCATTTAAGTTCCAATTTTTGCAGTTTTTACGCCAGATTCTGGTTGCATAAGTAGCAGATATATATCTACGTACAGGTAAGCCTTTGTTCCGTCGTGATTTGTTTATTTTTTCGAAGCAATTTTTATCTTACATTTAGGATTACATTTGTGTTTTGAATGACGTCGCTAACCAAATGTCGCCTTGTTTTATTTACAATGTTAGCTTTTAGGCTGTGACCTATGACTTCAAAAATGTAAATTTTAAGGGGAAAATTTTTTTTTTTCTGTCAAATTTCTGTTTATTTAATATTATTATTATTATCATAGTAAATTGCAAAACCAGTTTTAGGTTTAAATATTAAACTATTATTATTTTTTTTATGTCATCCCATAAGTGGTTGCTATAAATAGTTGGATAGACCATTTACCCCTGTTATCAAAGTTCAAGTTTGTTAACTTTTTTGGTGGATAATAACATGTACTTAGTGAAATTCTATGTTTAATCAAATAGGTACATATAATTTATAATTTAAATGACAATAATATAAGAGTGTTCCATTTACCCCAATTGTGTGGGGTAAATGAAACGGGCTAAATAGTATACATATGCTTTTGGCATGGAATGTAATCATAGGTATACATTTTATTTTATGCAACTTCTTACTAATTATTTTTAATTAGAGTTAATGAAATTTTAATTTTAATTAATACAATTTTAATTAATGTAATTTTTTGTTATATTTTTGCATATTTTAACAAAGTGTGCTATTACATATTACCTTATTCTTATTATTTTGTACTCTACTATGTTTTCAGATTGAATATGGCAAGACAGAAGCCATCATGGACCCCAAAATATGGAAAATGGAAGCCGGAAGCAATGGAACTTGCGATGAAAGCTGTTGAGGAGAAGAGGCTTACTTTACGTAAGGCAGCAAAGCAGTATAATGTGCCACAGGCTACACTGTGTAGACGGTTAAAAAGTGGTGTAAAAGCAGATGCACCGGCAACTAGACCACCAACGTTTACTATTGAAGATGAACGCCGCCTAGTCACTTATTTGCAAGAGATGGAGAGCCTCGGCTTTGGCCTCAGCATAAACAGGGTTTGTAAATTGGCATATGAAATGGCAGAAGAGGCAGGCATTCCACACCGCTTCAATAAAGAAGAAAAAAAAGCAGGTTATGATTGGTACCAAGGTTTTATGAGAAGGCATCCTCAACTTTCATTAAGAAAACCTGAAGGCCTATCAGCTGCGCGTGCAGCTATGCTAAATCCGAATGTTATTGGAGATCACTTTGCAAAATTAGGCGAATTGCTGGACAGAACTGGTTTAAAGTCCAAGCCTGCCCAGATATATAATTTGGATGAAACAGGACTAAGTCTTGTACACACTCCGTCAAAGGTAATCGCCACTAAGGGTAAAAAAACTGTTCAGTCTCGTACCAGTGGTGATCGTGGAGAAAATGTCACCATTCTTGTGTGTGCCAACGCCCAAGGTAGTGTTCTACCTCCCTTTATCATATTTAAAGGAAAGCGCTTAGCTGCAGGGTTGACAAATAATGCCCCACCAGGAACCCTTTTTGCTGTCAGCAATTCCAGTTTCATAAACGCTGAACTGTTTGAAAGTTGGTTTAGCTGAATGTTTATACCATCATTGCCACCAGTACGCCCTGTGCTACTAGTATTAGATGGCCACTCTTCACATATTACTATTGCAACGCTCAAATTAGCTCGTGAACACTCCATCCATATTTATTGCCTACCACCCCACACTACAAACCACACACAACCTCTTGACAAGTCCGTATTTAAGTCTGTTAAGAATGCGTACAACAAGAGATGTGAGCGTTTCATGTGTGAAAATCCAAACTCTGTCATTACACGCTATGACTTTTGTGGACTGTTCAAGGATGTGTTTCACAGTGTGATGACAATAGCCAACATCATGAGTGGGTTCAAGTCCACTGGCATTTATCCATTCAACCCACAAGCCATCACAACTGAGCATATGCCATTCTCATCAGTTGATGCTGAACTCTCCTATCAACAAGCTCTACCCAATGAAACACTTGCCGAACAACCTGCTGCGGTACCAGAGCTGACAGTTACAGTACCGGAAGTTGTTGTGGATGTCGTCGTAAATGAAGACAACCGTCCGCTTAATATAATTGCCGAAGTGGAAGATTTAATATTACAACAGCTACCACATTCATCACACCAGGAACCACGGTATGCTACACTACTTAAAAAACCTGTGGTCAAGAAAGTAATCAATAAGAATGCGCCCACTAAACGCATTACACAAGCCCGGTGTTTAACGGCTGACAAAATATTTGAAGCTGAAGTACAAAAACAAGAAAAAAAACAGCGTGAACTGGCTGAGAAAGAGGCCAGAAAGATCGAAAGAGAAAAAAAGAGAAAGGAAAAGGAAAATGAAAAGCAGGAAAAAAAAGTTCAAAAGCTACTAAAACAAAAAGAAAAGGATGAGAAGAAAAAGCTTGAGTGTCGAAAGAAAAACAACAAAAAATCCGCAAAGAAACAAAACATGCAAGAACAATATGATAGAGATGATATGAACAATTACTGCGCTAACTGCGAAGGGTTTTATGGTGACGATGAGGACCCCGAAGATTGGTGGCAGTGTACCCAATGCATTGAGTGGTTTCACGAAACATGTACTGGACTATTTGGACAATTAACCAAACTGGAGAACTATGTATGCGACAAGTGCGCAGAATAAATTAATGCATGCTTAAATAGTGAACACAATAGTTTATTGGATGATGTACAGTAAATAAAAGTTAAAATGACAAGATCACATGTGTAATCAACTTATTTCATTGCATTTTTGTCATATTTTAACTTAGGGTCCATATATTATTCATATATCGACGTGTTCCATTTACCCTAAAATAGCGTTCCATTTACCCTAATTGGTTGGGGTATTTGGAACACAAGGCCGCATAATTTTCTAAGACACCTGTACATAACCTGTTGATACTATGACCATTTAATCTGTTAAAATATTACAACAGATGATTATTTTATTATATGCAACAAAAGAATTGCCACGAAGAAGAGATATAACACCACAAGCAGGACTTATCTGCTAAAGTGTTCCATTAACCCCACTTTACCCTAATTACTAAAAACTTCATTTTTGGGTAAAAATACAATATTTTATTAATCTCTCACGGTACACAAAACTATCCCCCGCCGGGCACCAAACCGGTATTTCAGAGACAGGTTTCGGGGCCAGATACAGAATATTATAATACTTAACTAATTTAGTTATCGAAGAGTACTGTACTATATAAAGATGAATCTTAAAATACATGCAGATATATTTGATTAATTTATATATTTTCTTATTTTATTAGATTACATGTGGTTTTTTTTTTCTTTTTTTTACCACAACTCCTCCAACAGCGGCTCTGCAAAATAAAGCGAGCAGTAATCACTATATAGCTCCTGCAGATAATCAAATTCTGGAACAGACCATGTCCTGCCATTTGCAGTACTAACATCCAAGGCATGAGCGAAAACGAACTTGCTATCAATCGTATCAAAATCATCAACTCGAGGCCAGCGATATACATTTTGATGACCTTTGCTGAGGAATTGAACAACAGCTCTCTCTGATGACTTGATGTCTACCACAGTTCCAACGAACCACTCATTTTCATATGCAACAGCGAGCCATTCACCCTGAGAATTGAATTTATATTGTGAATCTGATGTTGATGGTTGAACTTCTACAGCCCGTTTCTTGGATTTCCCTGTAAGCTGATTTATCTGTCGTTTTTCACCAGCAAAACTTTCAATAGCTTCCACATGATCAACGCTATGGGAAACAGGAATGGCAACCAAGTTGTGATTATCCTCCTCTCGTGACAAACTTAATACTGTTTTGAGGTCTGTTGCTAGAGATTCCAATGATTTCTTGCCAAAAACTAGGCGCTTGTTAATAACTCCCAGAACATTCTTCAAATATCTAATCTCATTCTTAACAATTTCCAACTTCTGTCGATTAGTCTTGCCACATTTCAAAGCCTGTTCCACATCTTTTGGTTTGACACAAGGTCCACCATGTTGTTTAACAATATCAACCAGCTTTCGTTTGGTTTCTAATTTTTCCGCTTCTTTTTCTTGTTTTCTTCTGTTTACCTCTTGCAAACGTGCCTCTGTTTTGCGAACAACTTCTCTTTCAGCTTCTTTGTGTTTTTCTTTAAGTGCAGTACACTTTTCACGTGCTAATTGTAGCAAATGTGCCTGTTCTTCATCTGGTTTTGATGACAGCCAGTCAGAAATTGTTTTATTTCTCTTGACCATCTGTATGCTGGAATGAAAATGCATTGAGGCGTGCCGTCTTCGAAACTGACTAAAGTCTAAGTCGCCAAACTCGTACTCTGACACCAGGTTTGTCAGCTTGCAGTGCTTCATTTGTTTCCTAAGGTCATCGTCTGGCGCACTCCCATACACTCCCCCAGGCAGAAAATTTTCAAGTTGCCTTTTAGTAACCGCAATGAATCCAGTCATTATTTGTTGTAGTGCAGATTTGGTGAGATAAGAGCCTGGCAATGTGTCACCCATCAAGCTTCTCCATATGTCATCGACTGGTACAGCAAAATCTGAAAAAATAGTGATTGGACTTGTTAGCAATTCGCTGCTGTCAAGTGACCACGCTTCAAACTTTTCCGCCATCTCTTGAATGTATATGTACTGGTCAAGATAGTGTGTGTCGCTGTTCAGGAGATTCCAGAATGGGCCAGTCACAACATAATAAATGATGCCAAGCGCACGAACCAAACTTTGTACTTCGGTACTATCGCAATCAACCATAACACTCTCCAACTTCAGATTTAATGCATCACTGAATTCATGAAAAAACATATGAATATGGTCCATGTGAAAGAACAACCCAGCAGCACCTTTAAAGAAATTGTTGAATCGATTCATACGAAAACTGGATATCTCAGATTTTGCTTTGACAGTTTCCTTACAAAATGCTTCCCACTTGGCTCTACATCCATTTTTCTGATCCCCTCTAGGACCCAAGACGTCACAAGCTGTGCGCACATAACGAGCTGCTGCCGATTCCCCCGAAGACTTGAAACGATTGAACTTAGGCTGAGCATCTCTTCCTAGACCTTCACCACATTCCTCCACAAGTTCTTTCTCCAACGTTTTTAATACACCTTCACACTGGTTAGACAAGCCAAGTAAGAAATGTGCATTGCAGTAAAGAAATTGAAGACTAGATGAATCTTCCCCAAGAATCGCTTCTCTGTGTTCACTGAGTATGTTGTTGAAGGCTTTATTTACACTAGATCGGTCAGACATAACAGCAAACATCTTCTGCATCATTTCCTTGTATACAAATTCTTTGTTCTCTCCATCAACCAAGTCGCTCAGTTCTTCCATCATTGAAATAACATTATCAAGCAGTGTTACTCCATCCTCCACAGCTACCGAGGAAAATCCTCCTGACAATGTTTGCCCAGTGTTTAGGGTCACCTGCTGGCCAAGAATTTTCTTCCCATCTCTAGATGTTCCATCTCCATGGAGGTCCCATCTTTCCGAGCCCATGATGCCTTCTGCTACCTGCAGCTTGCTTAGGACATGAGCACGATCAATCATGTTCTGGGCAGTTGATGCTGACGGCAAGCCATCAGTGGACACTTTATTAAAAATGAAGTTACACACAGTTGAAATAACCTCACCAACTTTTGTTGTAGGAACATCAAGTTCACAACACAATCGCATAACATATTTTTCCACGTTATCAGTATACGGTCTTCCTAAACCATCCCCTCTAAGTTCCAGATTCTCCGAAACGCTCACAGCATGTCTGGTTTGAAAAAAGATAAGCTCATCCTTAATTTTACTCAGCTCGCTTAGACTTTGTTTACGTTTAGTATCCAACGTGGCAATTTTTTTGCTTCGTGTTCGGAACTTTCTTTGTATACATTTCATTTTCTTTTTTAATTTATTTATCAATTTTGACTGCATTTCAGATTCAATTGCATTCTCCTTATTCTTTTTATCAAGATATAATGATTTTCGTCTAAGTTTCTGATATGAAGCAGTAGACTTTGATTTTACAGTTTGGCGTTGTTCTTTAAGTTTTTCTTTTAAATCCTTTACCTCGGCTTTTAAATCGTTCAATTTCAAATTCTCATCTTTAACTACTTGTAAATCATCTTCTAATTGTTTAATTAGTTTTGATTTCTCTCTACATAATTCTAACAAAATAGTTTCTTTCTCCTTTAGCTGTTTTACCTCATCTTCCTTTTCACTAAGTTTTCTATCACATGTCAGTTTAATTTTGTTAACGTAATTTATATTTTCCTTTACAGGATTAGCTGAGCAACTTCTTTCAACTTGAGGCTTACTAGTTATTAGCTCATTTCTATATAGGTTGGCCGCATCGCCTCTTGATTTTGATTTGTTTAATTTTTTAAACATAGCTTTAGTTTTTTAAGTTCATTTTTTATACTTGATGCAACAAACTGGTCAGGATATACATGGTTTACACATGCAAAAATGTCTCCTCCATACGACTCCAACTCCAAAAGGATGCCTCGTGTCAATGGTTGGTGATGGCTAGATGGTGGCTCTTCAAAAGTGCGCCTTGATATGTTGGTTGCTTCACACATTGGACCTGTGAAAAAATAAATAAATAAACTGTTATTTAACATTATACAGTATTTATACAAGTTTACTATTAACTGTTATTGCTTCAATAAAATATATTTACTGTAATTGAAAACTTTTTTGTTGTGCATTGCCTTCACTTTTAATAATACCTTATGAAAAATAAAAGTATTTCAAAATCAAATTTACCTATGGAGTCAAGATCAATAATTTCATCATAATATTGCTGACGATCACCAACATGCAGCAAAGTGCGTATTGTAGATTCAACTAGGTGACGCCACTTATTAACTGGATAATTCGGAAAGAGCTTTCCCAGGCAAATAGAAACATCCATCCACGGCTTCCGGTGATCTACCTTAATAATCTTGTATATCTGAAGTAATACTCTTCGAGTGGGTTTCAAATTGTTAGGAAGAGTTGGTCGTCTTCCACGGCCGGTGGCAACAAAAATTGACTCCATCAATTTCTTTGTCTCATCATCTGTTTAATTTTAAAAACAGTTTTATATTTATTAAAATTAAAATCAATGTACAAAAAAAAAAAAAAAATTCGTAATGCTATAGCCTGGCCACGATGCCTTCATTTGAAACTCAAATTTCAAAATATTGCAAAGTCTAGGCCTAGAGTCCGTTTTTCACGAAATTGTCAAGGACTATATGCGCTTTGCCTCTGGACGTATACTGTCACAAATTAAACATGTCGTCGATTTAGGCCTAGCTATTTACGGATCATACACCTTTCGATTAATGTTTAACAATTACTTATACCTGGAAATACTTCAATCTATTTTCAATTAAAACATTTTCAAAAAATTAACGTATCTAAATTATTCAGGAAACCCTGAAATTTACCGTTAAAGATTTCCATACCCTAGCCTAACGTTCGTTGTTCACGAAATCTACCCGAATTACACGAGCCTTAGCCCTGGACGGTTATGATGGATACAGACCAATATTTACGATTACGGCCTAGCTATTTGCCGATCGTGTACCTTTTAAATATATCGATACAAATATTTGTTCATGATACAAGTTAAATCTATACTCAATAAACATATTCGAAATATTTACGTACCTATTTCATGCAGGAATTCCTGTAATTTGGCGTTTGAAGTATCGTCTTCCATGCTGAATCGAGTCAAGCGAGAGATCAATCAAGCAAGTTTCGCAAGCCACGCTAGATCGGATCCATTGTAAAAGTGTGTAAACCGGTCTTCACTCAATGGATCGGCGCATGTGCGCCATTGTTTCTATTGGAAAATCGTTTTTAGAATCATATTCTACATAAAATTTGCTTCATTTTGATATATTTTTCGGCTTGATTTTTTCGTTTTAACGGTTCAAATTATTGTCCTGAAGTTTTTGATCGACATTTTTTCCGTATAGATGACGTTCAACCCCGAACTTTTTTATATGAAAATAAAGCCCAATTAATGTTCTTTCTTTTTACAATAACAATGAGTTGATATATTCATCCGAGAGAGAGCGCCGCTGAAAAAAGTAAAGCAATGCAAAATAGGCACTCGAAAATCGGCGTAAAAAACGATCGTTTCGTTCGGAAAGTCGATCATTTTAAAATCACTATAGATGATGAAAATAACATTTATATCAGCTAAAAATGACACAGAAAGACAGATAATGAATTAAGCTTTAATTTAATACTTTATTTCACGCAAAAAAATTAAAATATAGACACATTTTAAGCACATGAAAATTTGCATTTTTCTGCCTGTGCGTGCAATGTGACCATGAATCGTCAGCTTGTAGTGATACCTATTAGTGGCCAAAAGATTACCGAAAAAAATGCAAATTTGTTAAAACAATGTCAGGAACCCAAAATATGTAAAAGTAACGTAATTTCTAGCTTTCGTACGTGCTGCGCACGTAAAAATGCGCGCGCGTAGTGGAAAATTTCAAAAAAATTTGAAATGCTCAAAATGGCCTAAAAAACGTGCTCTAATTTAGTCAAAAAGTGATTTTGAGCATTTTGAAAATTTGAAGCACGCGTACGTGCGCGAAGTGAAGCGCACGCGTCAAATTAGGGAATAGTACATTCAACATTAACCCGAAGTTAATGCTCACTTAATACGATTTCGAAATGGCAATTGGTTAGGCTGATATGATCGATAATGTAAAAACGCAAAATTGCGCGTAGATGACGTCACGCATGACTGAGCGCGTTGAAAAGCTTACCATGACTATTCCAGACCAAGCCAAATGTTCGCTGACAGCCATTTTTCGTTACTCGTGGCAGTTTTTGAGATATCGTGCGACAGAAAAGGGGAGAAAGAAAGAAGAATAAAAAAAAGAAGATGAAGATGATGATGATGATCCTGACAATAACAAGAGGTGATCCGCTAGTGTTAGCGGATCACCAACTAGATTTGAACTCGTCACTGAGTACGAGTTAGGTGATCCGCCGTACTTTTACCCTCACGAAGCACACGCGTTTCTGATTGAAAAGTATTATATGCTAAAACATGCTCTATTTAAATAGTAATTTTGAGTATTTAAAAAGAAATTTTTAAGGAAAAGAGTAAATTTGAGCATTTTAAGGACTTACGAATGTGTACACATACGTCTTAACGTTCGTGCGCACGGTAGTATTAATACAGTGTCACAAACCCAACACATGTAACCGAAACGTAATTTCCAGCTTCAGTACGTGCTGTGGGCGTGGGAATGAGTGTACGGCTCGTAAATTTTGGAAAGTTTTGAAATATTCAAAATGACCTGAAACGTGCTTTAAATTATCTGAAAAGTGATATTAACAATTTTAAAATTTTAACGCACAAGTACGAATACCTTATACGACGTGCCTGACGACGGTAATGGCACATGAATTTAAACCTTGTCAAGTTTAATTTCAAACCCCCTGTTGGTTGGTAATATGATTCAGAAATGACGAATGGTTAAGATGATAATGGCTCATCAACATTTTGAGGAAAGAAAGATGAAGGGGTCAGAAAAAACAATTTTTTTGACCATGATGACGTCATCAAAATGTAAAAAGAAGTCAAATATATGAAAGAGAATTGTCTCAGCTCTAACATACTCAAAGTTGGAAGACGATCGATTAAGGATAATCGAGATACGCTCAAAAGCGTATTTTTAAAAATGACGTCATAGCTATAATTCACTTTCTTTGAATTCAGATGCCAATATGATGACGTCACAATGTCCGATCAGCCATTTTCATCTA